GTCACGCTGGTCATTGATCCCTCTGCCTCATCTAAAGCTGTAGTTTCTGAAGGAATACGAGCACGAGCACAAGAGCTCATGGGCATTGCTGTGAACATCTGTTCGCACTGGTAGTCTGCAGGATGGTCCCCTAACGTCTTACCTGCGGCAGCAAGATACGTCTCGAAGACAGTTTCGATCTTTACAAGTTGAAACTGCTCACTCAGCTTGTCGAAGCATAAAAAAAGCGCATCCAGGAGCTTCACTAAGTCCTGCGAAGAGAAGGCAAGCACAGCACCGATGCCTAAGGTAATAAAAAGTTGTGGTCGACGGTGACAGCTAAGTCCGTAGTATAGATCAATTCGTATGCTTTGCCAGCCATGCGGCGGGGCAAATGCCAGACAAAAGGATGCTCACAACGCGAGGTACTGCAGCACGTAGGAGCACCCTAGTGAGTAAAATGCTGCGCAATAGTTCCTAATGTCTAATCATATACCTGTGGCAACGAAAAGGCGCATACGAGGTTGTGGAAGTCCGCGACGTCGCAGAAGAGAACCGATAGGAACAGAGGTGGAGAGCACAAATAATAAGGGATTGCATTTGGCATGTTCATAGGCCTGAATGACGCAGGGACCCCGCAACCACGAGCCACTGAAAATTCCTGGTTTCAGACTTCCGAGGCAGCGAACGTCAGTGCACAGAGCGGATGTCAGTGAGCAGGCACAGCAAGCTGTCTAGTAGAACGGAGTCTATCGCTCGGCATAAGATTAACGTGCCTTGGATCTGTGTGCGTCGCCGAGAGCATCTTGGCCACCACAAACGAAGGCAGCATGGTATTCAGGATTTCTCTGCTCCGCATGCGAGCCGCTTGTACCTAAGCCCAATCAAACCCACATACAACGCAGAGCACCTCTGACTCCAACGCACTATACTGCACAATAAACCATGAAGCCATCGGATTCATCTCCCATTCCTACCCCCGCCATGAGGCGGTGGTAGCGTGGGCGGGTCAGCTTGCCTGAGTATCAAGAAGAAAACGTTTCCGCTGATTATATTCCTGTCGATAACAGCCGAACGCCATGAGTGACACAAGCCCCAAAACCCAGGGGATGTACGACAGGA